ATGCCAACTGACTTGCATGGGCTCCATTGAAATACAATACAGTACAAGTAGAGTTGCAAAAAAAAATGCGGAATGGATCTTCCATTAGGGTCTCAAGGCCCAAACACACTACTCGGGGGGTGGAATGAGAGACCACGGAGTGGAACGACAGCCCCAGGGTGTACCAGGAGTGTTTAGGGACTTGAATGAGAGACCACGGAGTGGACTGACAGCCCCAGGGTGTACCAGGAGTGTTTAGGGACTTGAATGAGAGACCACAGAGTGGAATGACAGCCCCAGGGTGTAGCAGGAGTGTTCTGGGACTGGGATGACGGGCCTCAAAATGGACTGACAGCCCCAGGGTGTAGCAGGAGTGTTCAGGGACTGGAATGAGAAAGAATGGAGTGGAATGACAGCCCCAGGGAATAGCAGGAGTGTTCTGGGATTGGGATGATGGGCCTCAGAATGGACTGACAGCCCCTGGGGGTAGCAGGAGTGTTCAGGGACTGGAATGAGAGACCACGGAGTGGAATGACAGCCCCAGGGTGTAGCAAAAGTGTTCAGGGATTGGAATGACAGGTCCCAGAGTGGAATGACAGCCCCAGGGTGTAGCATGCGTGTTCAGGGTCTGGAATGAGAGACCACAGAGTAGAATGACAGCCCCAGGGTGTAGCAGGAGTGTTCCACCTCTCGCGTGTGATGTCCACGTGTGATGTCCGTTGCCGCTCGGACATCACACGTGAGAGGTCATTCTGGCTCCTCCAGCTCTCGTGAGAGGCTCTTTAAAACGTTATGGCTGCCGGCACCAGCGCCAACAATGGCGGCGGCCGTGGGGGGCCCGAGTGGTTCCTCCGCCTCCCTGTAACCCGGAGTGGTGGCCTTGGACTCCTAGGGGCAAATTCCACCTCTCGCATGTGATGTCATTTTGGCTCCTCCAGATCTCCTATGGGGCTCTTTAAAAAGTTATGGCTGCCGCTGCCAGCAGCAGCAATGGCCATTCTGGCTCCTCCAGCTCTGGTGAGAGGCTCTTTAAAAAGTTATGGCTGCCGCCACCAGCGTCAGCAATGGCAGCGGCCGCGGGGGTGGGGGCCGAGTGGTTCCTCAGCCTCCCTGAGCCCCGGGGTGGTGGCCTTGGACTCCTAGGGGCAAATTCCCTAGGTGGCCTTGGACTTCTAGGGGCAAATTCCACCTCGGCAACGCCACTCGGACATCACACGCAAATTCCACCTCTCGTGTGTGATGTCCGAGTGGTGTTGCCGCTCGGACATCACACGCGAGAGGTCATTCTGGCTTCCCCAGCTCACCTCACGTGTGATGTCGGGCATTCTAAATTATCTTATACACTGTATGTGCAAACTTCACTTAAATCTGAAGCATCTTGGCATGTGTGTACTGGGAACTAAAGGTACAACATGAAGTAACTTAAGATACTATCATACTGTTGATGATTACTACTCCATGGATGAAAGCAGATTATTTCTATGCTCACTGGTCAATGTTGCAATTGGTGAAATGATGGCCCTTCGCTTCCGCATCGCAAAGTGCCATATCCTCATGACTTTGCGTTTTCAATTGTGAAATACAGATCAGCTGCACAACGAGCTTCAGCAAAACATTAACATTCTCTTCCCCGACACTTAGTAAATTAGAAAGGGCTTATAATTTGCCACTGTAAAGCGATCCAACACTGCATTTAAAGTGTAACACTCTCTTTTAAAAACAACAACAGCAGGAGGCATGTAACTAAACGGCGGCCGAGAGGCGGCCAAGAGAACATCCGCCGGCACTCATAGCGTGAGATCTACTTCCATCACCTCTCTCGCTGCCAGGAAACTAAAAGCAGATAAAGGCTAAAATGCAAAGTCACGCTGTCGCTGCAACTACACAAGCTGGGATGGGAAAGGCGCGGAGGAGGAGGAGTCAGGAGATAGCGTCACCACCTTCAGATCAGTTTCCTCGCGAGATTCTAGAAGGTATAAAATCCGGCGGGGCACACCCTAAAGAGCTGGAGCAGGCTGTGCGTTGCAGAAGCGAGTGTTGGCGTTTGCGGTTTCTTGGTAGGTAATGGTTGCTGTAGACACTAAGCTAGAAGGAAGGGATCATTTTATTAGCGGAGACGTTTCCTTTTGGTCGCTGTAGCAAAGTCTTCTAAGGAGCAGTGCTCTATGGTGCTTTATGCCGTTTGCAAGTTTGTCGGATTTGTTTGCATGCTTTAAAATGAGCGGCTTTTTTAAAATGAAGACAGTGCAGTATATTGAGTGCACAGTATTAGTGCTGGGTTCTCTGTTCCTTTTTGTTGATACTCTGTCGTGTGGTGGAAGGGCCGAGCGGCGTATGGTTTTCTGCTTTTTGCTTTTAGGGGTTTTGCGTTTTCCTTTGTTGCCTCTTCTCTCGGGTGTAAGAGGAAGAAAAATTCCGCTTCAAACCGCCTGGAGGGTGGGGAGGAATTGAGTGCAATTAAGGCAGAGCTGTTAAGCTAAGCGGCAGTTCAAACGCCCTTGATTTTTTTCCAGCGCCGAGTGCCAGCAGCTTCAGTCGGATCGTAGAGGTGTGGGCTGTGCTGCAGATTTCAGTGGCTCAAAAGCTACTGATGGTGTTCAGAGGTGGATCTCTTGGCAGTGTGTTTATCGGGAGTTCCTCATTACAAATCAGAGACTAGCAATTCAAAGAGGTGTGCCATTGCTTTGAATATTTAGACAGTTGTATGTTTTAACACCGGGAGATACTGCCTTTTAATTAGCTACAGGAAATATGCAGCAAGGCCAAGTGGCCGTTGAATTTCTCGGTTCCCTCACTGGAGTAAGTTTCTTTGACCCCAGTGGAACGTCTGTATAAATACGCTTGTGAGCGCTTAGTGTAGCTCAAGAGCTTTGATCTGGCTGGTTCGTAAATCGGCTTCCTCTTTTGAGGTTTCAGATTTCCCTAACAGAAAATTAAGGTAGCTGCCTTTGAGTAGCAGCTTTAATTGTATTTCTTAGAAAAGGACTGGTGAGTGTTTGGGATTCTGGGAAGCGACCAGGTTGTATAAACGTCGATGTTAGGAGCTTTAAAGACTGCTGATGGTATGCAAGTTCATATAAAATTCCTGGTTTGATCCTTGGAATATTTGAAATGAATTGCATGTACTACCTTGTCAATTCTAAGAACATTCTACATGGGTAGTTGGTCCGTGGTCTGTGGCCTGTATAGCCCCAGATAGCCAAATCTCAAAAGCTAAGCAGGGTTGGCCCTGCTTAGTATTTGGATGGGATACCACCAAGGGATACCAGGGTCACTATTCAGAGGCAGGCAGTGGTGAACCACCTCTGTCTCTTGCCTTGAAAACCCTAAAACCCAGTGGGGTTTCCATAACTTGGTTGGGATGAGAGCAAAAGGCCAACAGAAGTCTAGTGGCTTAAAGATCAATATTTATTCCAGCATAAGCTTTTGTGAGTCAGAGCTCACGTCTTCAGATGCAGTCTCTAAGAAACCCTCTGAAATAGTTGTGACTATAATATTGCTGCATTAAAAACTGCATAATGAGCATTGAAATGTTCTGTATGATGGCAGTTACCTTCAGCATTCTTCCTGTTGCCAGCATTGCTTCCCTTCCTAGGGAATCTGTCACAAGAAAAAATTCAAGCACTTCACTCAAGTTAAACTGTTTTTTGCAGAATTGTTAACATAGTTTGCTGAAGCCTGCATAAGCACATGCCTACTTGGCTGAGCTTTTCCTTAAGCTGACATGGGAGAATATGGCTGGCAAGGCCTCTTTAATTGAATAAACTTTAATTGCTAGGTGCATACATGAAGTGTCAGAAATTAGTGTGGAAATACTATCCCACTTGCAGAGTTATACATTTTTAACCTTTACCTGGACTTTGCTAGCAACACAGAATTTCTGTGGTTCAGTTGTCCCTAATCACACTTCACAAATGAATTTGCATCTAATAGGGTTCAGGATCTAAAAATCTTGTAACCTTGGTTGAAGTTCATGCTCCCTGTAAATGTAGTGCTTGGTTTTGCTTCAAAGTATCTCAGCAATGCTTTTGAGAGGAGGGTTGCAGGGAAGAACAGAAGTTCTTCACTGCTCATCCTCTGAAGAAAATTTCACAGTCGTGCAGGTAAAACTTGTTTTTCCCACCTAGCAGTAATGGTTGAATTGGTAACAATACTTTATAGAAGTGTTCGTAATACTTGTATTAACAGCGGCTGACAGTCCTTATCTGTGCACAGTGAGGTTAGAGGCAAAGTTCTGCAACTAATGCTGAGTTTTCTATTACTTTCAGTATTTTAGTGTACTTTAAAGTACTAAAATTCAGTCTGTACCACTTCTTTGTTAATTATGCCTGAGTACTGAAAACCCTACATCTATAGTACTTTTGCAAATCTGTACTTGTTCTGGTCAATCTCGAAATTATAAATGTGGTGTTAATTAATGCTAGATGGTTTCTTTCTCTGGGGAGGGGTTCAAAAAACCACAAAACCTAACAAATTCCATTTTTTTTCAGTTCCTGCCAGAATGTCATCCGGAAATGCTTATATTGGTAAGCCGGCCCCTGACTTCCAGGCCACAGCTGTAATGCCTGATGGACAATTCAAAGAAATCAAGCTCTCAGACTACAAAGGTAAATGTATTAAAAATTGTTGGATTTGTGGGCAGGGGATTGCAAAATAGAGGGATTGCAAAATAGAAGCAGTGTGATGTTCTACATGTAAAATCCTAATGCCACTTGTACTGAAAACATGATCCTGAAATGGAACAGCTTTCCGGCATATAGAATATGAAAATATAAGTGTGTTGCAAAAAGAACCGTTTGCATACTATGTTACGTTACGTTGCTGTATTGCAAAATTTCTATCGTGACTGGAGTATAGTCTTGGGATTTGTTTCATTTTGCTGTAACCCAGTTGTAATAAGGATTTTGAAATACAGCAAGCTACTTAATGTAGCTTGCAAAAGATTGCTTTTGTGACACTGATTAGTTTTCTCATTCTAGAATAGTTACATTTCAAGAACAAGAATCATGGACCTGAATAAATGAATTCTTTCTCATAGGCTAGCAAACTGCGTTGGTAACATGTAACTGTCAGTTACTGCCCATAGAAACATGTATTAGTTATCTGTGGGCCAGCTTCTTTGTCTGGTTACTAAGAAGCCTTTGAATCATCGGGGGCCTGCCAGGGGTCATTTCGTAGAAAAAGAGGTGCAGGAGCTCATTAGCATAACTTATTTGCATATGCCACACCCCTTGGCATCTCTGGAAGTGTTTCAGAAGGCAACACCCACCGCTCAGGCTCCACTGGACTGTTTTGGATTGCTAGCTATTGGGGGGGGGGGTTCTGCAGATCTGCCCTCACAGAGGAGGGAGAGCTTGTACCTGAAGGTGGGCGGGGGGGGGGACTCTGCAACTTACCTGGCTGCTTCTTGCTCCTTGTGGCCTGACTGAGGGCTGCTGGGAGCAGGGGGCGGGGCTTGTTGAATGTGCTCGCCCCCTGGGCTCCTTACTGCCGGAGCTCCGCTCCTGTGCGCTCCCACCTGACCATGGTTTCACTTCAGTTACCAACAAATAAGCAGCACCAACTTCTCATTGACTTATTTGCAGGCTAGAGCCTCTAACATCTTAGATTCCTGAAAGCAGTGTCTCTCCTCCCTGTCTGATCTTTGTGCCCCACTTACAAACATTGTTCTTTTCTGCTGGATGAGAGATTTCTTTTGTCATTATCTTCTCTCCTATATTTCCTTCAGCATCTCTGATTAGCTGTGCTTGGCAGGCTGAACAAGGAGGACTGTAGTCCAAAAGCTGTAGATCAAATCAAATGAATAAATAAGTGGTAAAGGGCTTTGCTTCTCCTGTGTTCAGCCTACTGTGGACTGCAAGCAGGCAGAACAACAGTATGTTGAGATACAGCAAATGAACCAAGCTTTCACACCCCCAACTCAGAGCATTATGAAGGCAAAGTGGAAGCTGGGGAAGCATTCCCAAGACATTAGTACTGAATGCAGATTGGCTGGGCCAGATACATCCTTCAAGTTGCTAGGCTATCAGTGGAACAGACAAAGACCTGGCTGTCTTATCAGTGGGACAGACAAAGGATCTGGCCCAGAAATAGCTTCCCTGGTGCTTAGGCCCAGCAAGGGCAGGTGTTCACCACCCCCTAGAGGCTTTCTAAGTGCTTATGGAGCACATGCTGGTTCTTTAGCTGAACCATATGCCACTTCTGCCAGTTTAGTGACATGTAGCTTTTGTTTGTAACATATGGGTATTCAGCTGGATTGAGTACAACAGAATGTCCCAAAGGACAGGCTACTGATCTTTAGATTTTATATTTTTTTATTTCTAAACTCTGAGGCTGTTGTTGCTTTACTTTATGCAAAAATACTAACTTGGTTACTTTTTCCTTAGGCAAATATGTTGTGCTGTTTTTCTATCCGCTTGATTTCACCTTTGTTTGTCCAACTGAGATTATTGCATTCAGTGACAGATCTGAGGAGTTTCGGAAAATAAACTGTGAAGTGATTGGAGCTTCTGTCGACTCCCACTTCTGCCACCTTGCCTGGTAAGAGGAGTCCTTGGGTTACAAGCTTTGTTTCTTCTCTGCAGGTCCTCCCAAACCTTACAGAGACAGAAGTAGCTGCTGCCAAGGAGTAATTTAATCTGAAGTTTTTGTTTTGGTCCAGTCTAGGAATAAGTTTTTACTAGTGACAAAATACTTCGTGGCTTACAGAGGCTTGGTTCTCATAGTTAATAGTCATAAGATATCCATCTGTTACAGTCTTGTCACATGAGAAAATAGATCAGCGAGTCTCTGAAGACTAGAGCTAATGGAACATGGTGGGATCTATTTCCTCAGTGTCTGTTTCATCATTGTTAATAACTGTGAGCTCCTGTGGTTCCTTCTCAGAGAGGCCCCCCCTTGCTCGTTTTCTTCTCCACAGTCTCTGCTTTCCTTTCCCTCCTGTCTCCCATTCTCTTGTTTCCCCCCTGCCTCTCTCTCTCTTGTTCCTCCTTCCTTTTTTCCAAGTTGCCTTGAGTTTCAAAATAAACCTGGCAGCCATTTCAAATTTTTGTTGGCAACCACAGACAATGGTGATGTTATTAGTTGATTAGGCATTCCAAAATGACTTTGAAGATCTAGTGAGGTGATCTTCTAAAAGTTTGGATTTATCTCCTCCAATAAAAAATTAAGATTTTTCTACAGACCTGGGGGTTACCCCAGATTTGTAGAAACATCTCCCTGATTGCTACATTGCCTCCATTTTGCAGAGTTTCTGATTTGCAGTCTGGCACCACCACGTTCAGAATTAAGATACAAGAGTGCTATAGGATTGGATCACTGGGTAGCTGCTCTTGTGTCACTCCAGCAGTGTAAGAAACATATTAAAGGCATTTTCATGTCATTCTGGAAATTGGAGTGACTTTTCTTAGGTTAATGCTCTCTAACGTCTAAATTGCAAAAAATGACTAAACAGCAGAAGTTGCACATATATACTTAAGTAATTATCTTACTGTGCTGCATTTGAAATTAATGATATTCCTATGACCTCTCCTTAATTTCCTGAAATATGATGTGGTTTTCTAAAATCCCTTTTTGCTACCTTTACAGGATCAACACTCCTAAGAAGCAAGGTGGCCTGGGTAGTATGCACATTCCCTTGGTATCTGACACAAAGCGTGTGATTGCTAAAGATTATGGAATACTAAAAGAAGATGAAGGCATTTCTTACAGGTAAAGCTAAAATTACACCCTCTAAGTGACTTGCTTAGAGAGCATGGTATGATGACAAGCAGCATCCCTCTTATGCCATTGTGATTCTCAATATTTTTTTCTTAGTAACTTTGTTAAATGTTTTCTTGTGGTGTTTTGGGAAGAAGAGCTTTGAAGTCCTGTGCATGTTTCCTTTCTTCACGGTAAAACATAGTGCAAGAATATATGAAACTGTATCTGGGACTTCCTAGAACCAGTAATGAGTCTAAAAGAGGGAAACAAGAAAGGTTCAGAAAGATCCTAGCTAAGTAAGTCTAGTAATGAATGTATTTGTACTACTACTGATACATAGAAGAAGGGTTTAGGGCATGTACAGTCCAAAAGCTCTATTTAAAAATTATTCCCGTATGAAGTTAAGGCCTTGGCAATTATCATTGTTTTGCTCTACTGAAGTGAAAGGACATTGCTTTACACTTAATCTTGTGTACAGATATTTGCCAGAAATGCATTGATCTGATACTGATAGGAAGATTTTTCTGTAAGGTACATGAATAAGGTGTTATATGACATTCTTATAAGTAATTTTCTTTGGTCTGACTGTGTTTTATATTATAAAATCTTAACTCTGCACCAGTTACAACTTTAACTTTATTCTGATGGACTGAATTTATGATATAATCCGTTATAACTAAGTCTGCAGCACAGGACATTGTCTGTTCTGCCATCACCCCACTTAACTTTTGAGTTTTTTGCTATTAAATATGTTCTGTGTTTTATGACAAGAATTACAAATTATGCTGTATGTAGTCTTACATTTCTTGGTTTTTAGAATGAGAATTATATGCTACAACTTGACAGATCAGAACTGAAAACACTGTTAACTATTGGGGTACAAATACTAAGTTGTAGTGTTGGAAATGGTTTTTTAAAAATTTCTGATTTGTGCTCATCTTTCCTTAAGGGGTCTCTTTATCATTGATGACAAAGGAACTTTACGCCAGATCACAATTAATGATCTCCCAGTTGGCCGTTCAGTTGATGAAACACTCCGGCTAGTTCAGGCTTTTCAGTTTACAGACAAACATGGAGAAGGTAAGATTATCATGTATCATACTTCTCTGGCTGATGTTTTATTCATTTTTATTTATTTATGCAGGGTCCCTGAAGGCAGTGAGCAATCACCAGCTTTAAAATAAAACAAAAGTAACAGTTAAAGTATAAACACATGACTAGGAGGGAGGACCACTGAGGGAATGTCAAACAAAACAGAAATTTTCACCTGCTGGCAGAAGACAGCCATTGTGGTGGGGAGACAGATTATTCTCCCTGGGGAGGGCATAGTTTTGGTGCCATGGCCAAGAAGTCCCATTCTCAGGTTGCAGCTCATCTAGCCTCAGATGTTGGGGGTACCTGAAGCAGGGTGCTAGAGGAACTCTCTTGCATAAGGAAGCTTTTAATAACTCGTCATGAATTTGTCTTTAAACACAAAGAGTGTATAGGAATACTCAATTTCTGCACAATTTTATAAGGATGGCCACTAAGACTTCAAGATTTGGGGTTTTGGCTTACCTTTGTCTTCATTTTACATTGTATTCAACCAAATGTATAAATTCAGTGACCTTGAAGGACATTCAGTAGAAGGGTCATTCAATAGATGTCTTAGGTTTATAGAAGTCTAGAACAAATGCCATGAGCCCCCTTATTGCTTGATTACAGTTCTGGGGATTTCCAGTTTCCCTTGTGATGAAGCTAAAACATGTTCCCCAGTTCTGGCTGAAATTCTAGGTAGAAATCAGTATGCTTGCTTGCATATCTAAGAGGATAGAGATTAAAGTTGCCAATAGGCTGCAGGAGCCAAGGAGATAAAGCCTTTCATGGGGAAACTACAGGAGAAGAATGGAAAGGGAACAACATGGGAGTATAAATAAAAAGAAGGAAGGGACATATAGAGGTCACCGGGGGTAGCCCAGGAAGTCTCCGGTAGGCTTTTGCTTCCAAGCAACTTCAGCCATTTTCATGTTACAGTGAACGTGCATACATCTGTTCATGAGAAAGAGCTAATGTGCATTCACTTCAGAAATGCAACCAGGAACTGGTACCTGGGGGACCGCCTTTCCCCATATATACCCCAGCGAGCACTACGGTCAGGGGCCCAACATCGTTTGACTATTCCTGGCCTCAAGGATGCAAGGCTCACCAGTACCAGGACCAGAGCCTTTTCTATGGCAGCTCCTTACTGGTGGAACGAGCTCCCGGAGGAGATCAGGGCCCCGCAGGACCTTTTACAGTTTCGCAGGGCCTGCAAGACGGAACTCTTCTGCCAGGCTTTTAAATAGGAGTCACCACCACTATTGTTGCCATCAATGATTCCATCGAACTTCTGGAACTTAGGACTGGCCCAGTTGCATCACCAGGCCTGTATTTGCTCGAGGGATGATGGTCGGAAGGACAAGTGGACAGATTTGAAGAGCACGAATTTGTCAGCATTGCGAGCATTTTATTGTTAACTGTCATGTTATTATATGATATGAGTTAGTATGTATTTTATGTAGTTTAAAATGTTATGGCTATGTTAATTAGGTACATTGTGCCACTCTTGCTAGCCACCCTGAGCCTGTTCATAGGATGGGCAGGGTATAACTATAATTAATAAATAATAAGTATGTGCTTAAATCACATGTTCAGCTGTACATAAGTTACATGCACATTGAGTAATACAATGCATTCAAAGAAAAATCAAAATTCTCACTGTACTTGGACTGTAAGTGCCTTCACTGTAACTTGTGAACCGGGCTCCTCTGTTGCAGTGCAGAAGTGAGGGGAACTTTAATAACATTCTGAAGCTTGCAACCAGCATTCCTTTCTCCTTCTGTGGACTGAGTGGTCTTATTTAAAGGGTCACAGCTTTGCCCTGTTGAAGACTAGGCCAATAACCATGTTCTGGTGGTGAAAAACTTGGCTCTGACTGGTTTCTGAGAGAGACAATGTTGGCAACATTCATAGTTTTTGTTGGCTCCTTACGATCACTGGCAATCCATTTGCACTTGAAACTATGAATGTTGCCAACATTATCAGCAAGAAAAGAAACTGCACAGAGTTTCATGCACCAAAGTTGTTCAGTACTGAACAAGATGGTCCAACAGGGCCTGTGACTATGGAAATTTTTTGGCACCCTCAGAAATCAGTCAGAGCAAAGTAACACCTGCTGGCAAGCAGATGATAGCCCAGGACCATACTTCCCTTTAACAGTGACTCATTGTAGTTTAAAAAAAAAATCCTTCCAGGGTGCCATTTGTGCCATGCTCTAGAGTAGCTAAGAAACAGAACTGAAGGCAGATAGAACTAGGTTTCTTTTAAGAGGCTTCTGTTGAGTTCCATAGGTCGGGAGCAAACAGTAAGATGGTTAGGTGAGTAGGGTGGATTGAGTCCACTCCAAACATTGTTGCTGTGTGTGGACTTCTGCAGTCTCCTGCATAAGTGACTGGCTGCTGTTCATTCCTGTGGGGGAAAGTAGCAAATGCAACAGCACTGGATGGTAGCTTTGCTGCCATCACCACCACTTTGGAAAGGAGGGGGCAAAGGCCTCTAACATGCGATGACCACAGCAGTGTTTGAGCAGAGTTACCTTACAGTGCAGCAGTAATGAGACTGGATGGCTTTTTTTCTTGTTGCTCGTATCATGGTGGCATTCTTTCCACAGCATGGCCTGGACAGTGTGAAGTCTAGTCTCATTTTTTACAGTATGCCTCCTCTATAACAGCCTATTCTTTCCTTGAGGCAAAGTAATGCAGTGAACAGGAGCACTCTTCTACCTCCGGATGTTTATAACCACCTATGAAGCCACAGTCCTCCCTCTTCCCTCATACTTGCACTAAATCAAGAAACTCTTGCTGTTCGTTTGTCCGGCAGCCTCAGTATCCATTCTTCACTTTTTGTCTTCATTACTTGCACCTATTAACATCCCTGCTTGTTTCCCTCTTCCCCGTATTTCTTGCATTTACTTTCTTCTTCAGTGTCCCACTTTCCCAACACATTAGCTTTCCATTTCACAGGGTCTTCCTTTGCTTTTTCCCCACTGGAGGTAATCCAAAGGGATAGACCACAATGTTGTCATAGATCTGATAACACTGGATAGCCACTAAGTATGCTATGGTCAAATAAGTGCAGCCACTGTTAATAATTTTTCACTGGCCCAGGTCATTGTAGGTCCATAACTGCACTTTAGACTTTGATGTGCTTTTCAGCCTATGGCTTTGACTTTGGCATGCTTTGTCCCTGTGCATTTAAGTAACATTGTTTATTGTCTCTTTAGTGTGTCCTGCTGGCTGGCAACCTGGAAGTGACACAATCAAGCCTGATGTTCAGAAGAGTAAAGAGTATTTCTCCAAGCACAAATAAACGTGTTTCATTTCTGTGTTTTGTACAAGGAAACTATTATGTAATTTGTATAAAAACATAAGCCTGCCATTGTTTAAAGAGTAACCCTATTGTGTGAGCTAAGATATTTACAACTACATTTCATAAGCCATTTATTTCAAATCAGTCTGACTGACAAGTACCATGACACTGGAGTAAATAGATTACAAGTAAAATTTATTTGGCAGCAGCTATTAAGTATTGGGGAAATTTACTTCCTTATTTATCTGTACTGCTATAGAGATTTTTTTCGTTTCTTGTGCTCACATGGATAATTGAGGACCAGATGGTTTTTCTAGTATTTTGTATTGTCATTAAACTTGTGGGGAAAATGGAATACTGTCAGATTTGTGGAGTTAATGGCAAAGAAGTGGAACAGTTCTTCTGAAACTGCACTTCAGGCAGCATATGCTGTGAAACAGAGGGCCTCAACATCATATGCAAGATGCTAGCAGAGATCAGCCCCAAATTTTGCTTCCATTTGTACTTCAAGTTTGATATGCATTTATGATGGACCCCGTTACTCTCCCTACTTTGAGGCAGATTTTTCCCACCGAAATTCTTAGTTTCCTTCAGGTACTGAGCTGGCCTTCCAGTACTGTTACATTTGCAGCTTTATAAATCTGAATGTCCCACCCATTGACAATCTAATTTGGCTTTTGCCCAGCCCAGGAACTTGTCAGGAGAAAACCGGAACCCTCTTTTTAGATCCCTTGAGATGGCACTGGAGACACTGTAAAAGTGAACAATAATAAAGATTTTATTTAATAGGCAGGGGTGGTATGGGGTAGTCAGGAATTGGAAAGGCTGAGGTAAACAGTGGTAAAAATAATATATATTTCAGTTGACAGACAAGATGGGGTTGAGGCAACTTCACAAATTCTTGGTTCTTACCAGTGAGAGACTATCAGTTACTAGTGTTCCTGCCACAAATTCTTGGTTCTTACCAGTGAGAGTCTTATCAGTTACTAGTGTTTCTGCATACTTTCCTAATAACTGTTCAGGTTTTCTGGGAAGGTGTATCAAATTCTTTCCCTTTTTTTGAAATTGCAGTATTTCTTCTTTTTCCTGAGTAGTTGATCACCATTTCCTTTCACAACAAACCAGGGACTGTCTCAGTGCCAATTCCCTGTCTAACTGAACAGGACTTAAACTTCTTCTCTCAAAATATAATCCTATTCCTTTTGTCCTGATTGGGAGCTTCAGTCTGCTACCTAATCACTCTTTGCCAAATTCTCAAACCCCAGTTCATGGTGTCTGTGTGATAATGTAGTTCAGCATATGCTGTCACTAGACTCTGAATTCTTAGATGGAATTCTTTATGCTTAACACAGCTAAAACCAGGAGTCACTCCCTTTATTCAAAAGGTGAACCTGTCTGACAGACTTTTAGTCAGATTCTTCAGACATCCACGCCTGTAGCTGAACTTTTACTTGCTGAACAGTAACTGCTGCCATACTCAAAGTGAACTAACTTGTCAGCACACAGCTGATTTTATATTTCCTTCAGGTGGTGTTGGCCAATCAGAAAAGGAGCAGCCTGTCACTCAAGCTCAACATTCTAGATCAGAGTTAACTATTCACATCCCTTTGTGTGCCCTCAAGACCCTTCTTACAGAGCAGAGTTAACTATTCACCTCCCTTTGTGTGCCCTCAAGACCCTCCTTACCAATAGCATCACATCAAGTGACGATACTTTGCAGTCACATTTGGTACTTGGTCTCTTTCTGCCTGCTTCTTCCCCTCCCCACTTGAGTAGCAAGTTAGCTAATGTCCCTTGGCTTTCCAGTCAGTTCTTTACAATAGAGCCATTCACCATTCAGCTTGGAAGTGTTCTGTTGAATATGGTACCTTCTAAGCCAGCTATGCCTTACCTTGCTGTAAAATATATGTAATTCTCCATTTTTGGAATGAGAAGGCTCCCTTTTTCTCCTAAGTAATAACTCCTTAGTTGGCATACCCAAATAAAGGGGGGAAATTAGAGCTATGGGTTAGGTATAAAGCCTGTACACTTTGAACAATTGTCATAAGTCATTTCTTGAGTTCTGAAGCTGAAATGCCGTAGGTTGAATAAAGAGTCTTTCTGTAGTTTTAGGCAGTGGTGCTTGAATCTGTAAAGCACTTCATACCCAAGGCTAGTGGTAACAAAGGCTCCAACAGGGCCATGATGCAGTTGCAGCAATGAGAGGAAGTAAAATACATGGTACCCCTTGATGCTGCAGCCTTTCCCTGACCTGCATTTTGCCTTCAAGGCTCCCCAAATACTTACAGTAGATTTGGAACAAAAAGACTACTTTGAGAAAGATATGTTCTGCCACCACTTTCTGTTACAAGTCTGGGTCTAACCTGAGATGACACACTACTAGTGTCAACATGCATGTAAATAGCTGGTCATAGCCTGCTGAAGACTGGGTTAATTCCATTTTGTCTAAAACTGCCCACTTCCAACAGAATATCTGAGCATTCAAGTTAACATATCAGCACATGTGATAGTATCAAAGTATGACTTTTGAAGACAGATGAGGAAAATAGGTTGATGGTTGTAGAACATTAAAGAGCAAAGTAAATGCTTTCTTAATTGCAAGTCATGTTTAGCTTAGGTTGACTTCTGGTGAAAGCTGTTTCTGAATGATTCAGATTGCTTTTTGTGACCAACAGAACAATTTAGCAAGAAAAGATACAGTAGCTGGTGAGGGGTTATGCTAACAATTTTTCAACTAATCTGCAACAAATGCATTTTCTAGCTCCTTTAATGAAATGTAATAGATGCTTTGACATTTCTTAAGTGTCTTTAGTAAAGAGGCTACTTTTTTACCCAGCACATAAAACACAGGAGTTAGAACAGCAATGATGTTTTTGTGCTCAAGATAGGTGAGTCAAAGCAGGATATCAAATACTACATGGGGAAAAAAAGCCATCTGAGATAAACAGCTCTGTGAAGCAAAATGAAGTATCTTGAGCCAACACACACACGACAATGTGATGGAATATTGCTACCGCTAGGTGGCTCTGCTAAATCTTGTAAACATGTCTAGAAGCACATGCAAATTGACATACTTTCCTGTAATCTGACATCTTTGCTTACTGTAAAATGGGATTTCATGGTATGAGTTACACCTGACACGCCCACCAATATCCTTATCGCCCCAGCTGTTGGTAAGCAGCAGTTGCCATATCTGTCTTTGTGGTTTGCTAAGTGTACAGCTTTTTCAGCATCATAATATGAAGGTAACTGTGGGTTGTGAAAAGCACCCTATGTCTTTCCTTCCCTTATCATAACCCAGATACTTTCCACTGGACTGTTGCCCTTCCCCTCCAGTATTTTCTGACAAACCCTCGCCTCATATACAGCAGCACTCCACAACCTCTTTGACCCTTTAGATTTTTCTTGAACAACTTGTGTCCATCCACTACTACATTTCAGTCATAGGAATCATCCCACCAAGTCTCTGTAATGCCTACTAAATCATATCCCTCTGTCTGCATTAGAAGCTCAAGCTCTTCCTTCTTATTGCCCAAACTTTGGGCATTGGTACATAGACACCTGAAGCCCCGCACCTTTGGCTCCATTAGACCTGGCCCTCCCAGGTGGGGCTCTGTTGTTTGCTCTGCTTCATTTAACTCCCTATGTTGGTCATCTCCTTCCCCTTGTGGTGTCAGTTTAAAGCCCTCTTGATGAGTCTCCCCAGGTTTCTGCCAAACACTTTCTTCCCTGACCTTGATAGGTGAAGTCCAAGAGTTACACCAAAACATGGATAAAATAAGAGGAAAATAGTTTGAACAGTGGGTAGGAAAAGAGTGGTGGCTAAGGGATATTAGAATGCTAATGAACTCAACATTTAGCTTTTTGCAGTCTAATTTTCTCCCATTTTTCAGCCTCCAAGTGAGCAAAAGTACTGCCTCTCTTCAAGGCAAGATCCACTGTGTGTGGAATTTGAGACTGGAGAATGGAAACATACACTACTTCCTCAAATATTAATCTCCTGGCTGGCTGCCCCCTCAAGTGGCCAAAAGTTCGAGAGCTGCTAGGCCAAAAGGTGGTGATATGTAAAAGATAAAGAAGTAACTTGCAAATTTACACAACCCCTATGATCCTTAGTGCTAGTCAGGGAAAGAACACTGTGCATGCAAAAACATGGCAGTAGGGAATAAGGTTAACAGAACTCACAAAGAAGTGAACGGGATAGTTTTGATTTTCAAGAGAACGCAGACTAGCACACTTATTTTGCAGAATCCTGGGTTCCAGATTCTGTAATTCTATGCACCTCACACAGGGCTGATTCCAGGTTTTATGGACCCCTGGACAGAGAGTATCCAGCCCCTCATGCTCATCCACAAATGTGCCCCCACCTGCCTGTGCATCCTGGCCTCACTTTTTTGTGTGTGTCTGTGTGCTATGCTATTAACTCTTCATGGACACGTTAGCTGTGACAGCAACAGATACCTCATCACTCTCTCTGCCCCCATCACTCTCCCACACCCTCATGCAGCAGCAGTAGTGGTGGCAGTGCTCCCAGCCACTCGCCTGCTTCCTCTCCCCCCACAGCAGCAGTGGCAGCTCTCCGGGAATCACAACAGATCTGAATTCACCTTAGCACTGTCAGCTCCAGGTTGGGAACTTCCTGGAGATTTGGGGGTGAGCCTTGGGACCGTGAGGTTTGGGGAGGCAAGCAGCCTCAGCAGGGTATAATGCCATAGACTCAGCTTTCCAAAGCAGCCATTTTATCCAGGGTAACTGATCTCTGTCACCTGGACAACGGTTGTAATTCTGGGTGATCTCCAGCCCTCACCTGGAGGCTGGCAATGGTAGTTCTAGTGGAGGAAATGGCTGGTTTGGAGGGGGAGTCTATGACATTATACCGGTCTGAAGTTCCACCCCTCCTCAAATCCCACCCTCCCCAGGCTCCACCCCTAGCTCCACTCACCTAGTTCACAAAAACCTTATTCATACATATCCAAAAGTAGCCTGATAACCATAGTGCAGGAGGTGCCAATGGCCCCCCATTTTATGGAAGCTGGACATACTATGGATTTGTAATTAACAAATATCAAAGCCAGCTTCGGAGTCAGTGAGGATGTCCAGAGGGTGTTATTGAAACAAGAAACTTTCTGGAGTATACAGCACTTTAAATCTCTAAGGAAGTCTTTGAAGACACATCTATTCAAAAAACAAGACAGCTGCTATTAATAAAGCACTTTATTGGATATGATACACAGTTTGTCTTGGCTCAATCCCCACCTCTTTACTTCTTTATGCTGATGACGCAGTGCTATTGTCTCTAACTCGTATAGGGCTGAAACGCCTTTTGAAGAGCTTTGTAGACTATTGTGAAAAGAA